CACATAAAGAGAAATACTTTACATCTCAGTGGGTGCGCGTGTGTGTGAGTGTCGGTAACGCACTAATCTCAATCCGCATCTGCAATGGGAGAGCTTATGGGTTCGAGTCCTATCAGTGGTTTAACCAACCGCACCGGTTAAGTCTGGCTAATGTAGATGGTGGCCCAACGATTCCACTCACCACTCCAGATGAGATTTGGAAAACGGTCTCCAAATAGGCTTTCAAATTGATAGAACATGGAGTAAGCCACTTCATGCAAATAGTACTCATCATTCCCAAAACCCATTTTTGAATCGCATGTAAATTTTCTTTGAAATTATGCCGCTATAGGGATTTCATATCGATTTTTGGGTGTGAATAAAGGTCCTGATAAGTTTTCATTTATTAAAATTTTAACATCAGATTAATTGGCAACTAGACGATTTCGTAACCGCTTTGATATTAATTTTCTTCATAAAGAATAGTCAATCTGGGGTCTTGATAAGTGGAGAATTCAATGAAAATGAGGATATCTACCTGCGATAACTCCTTCAGTAGGCATTCATACCTAAATTTAGTATACTTTGGTTAAAAGATATATTCATTTTCCAACTATTTTGTTAAAGACTTTGAAAACCGTGATAACTAATTTGATCCGTTACTCTATATAAGGCAAATCAAAATTGTATCACCTTCAAATGAATTTTTTCACTTCCAAAATACAGGGCCTAGTAATGCTGTTGCAGCATTGGCAAAAGCATGAAGTTGTGGATGAGGTGAAGGCAGATTATTCGTCGACGGTAATGGGGAAGGGTGAATCAACTACCAGACAGTCTCATTTTACGATGGCTACAACACCTGTAGCGTGGCAATGTTCACATTTGGAAATAAATTTGAAAATGTATGAATAGTCCAGGGACGTGTGGCGAATCGCGGATGTATTGGCTGCAGAAGGGCAGATTCAAAAACATTCTCCAACAAGATCTGAATGATTTATTTCTCTATTTATTTCAAATGGCAGGCGTTTTGATGGATATCATTAGCCATTTAGCTGACTTCGGGCTTTACAGAGGGAAGGTTCATCAAAGTAGCAGAAAGTCGAGGGGTGGGGAACAGAAGAGCGATTCACAGATATAAAAGAGGCAGACAGATACAAAGGTAGAGAAAAAGGTAAGGTGAGTACTGTGAAAAGGGTCAAATATGACAGCCAGGGGGGTCGTGGTAGTTTGAAGTCAGAAGTCAAATGCCGGTTTATAGACTTTTTTGCCGTATGAGTATACGTTGCCCAGGGTGCACCACGTGGAGGTAAGTCTATNTTAATAGACTTTTTTGCCGTATGAATATACGTTGCCCAGGGTGCACCACGTGGAGGTAAGTCTATCGCACACCCCAGATCTAAAATATAGAATTAAGTATTTCCAAACCGGAATAAGCTTGAGTCATCAATGTTTTAATTGGTGATGTATGTCAAAATACCAGTATAATTAAATTAGCGTATTGACAGAGGCTAAAACTAGCGCAAACTGGCGAAAACCGAATATATGAAATTAATCCCCTAAGACAACTCTTTGGTTTGAAATTGAGCATCATTTCCTTTCGTTGAATTTCTTACGTCAATGGTCTATCGTGGATTAAATAAATAGTTGAAACATAAGAAAAATTGAAAGTCATGTCCCAGACTGTTCGCCATTTTTGCGAAGAGTGCAAGGTTGGGCCTAACTGTTGGAACAAAACGGAAATTCTTACGTAGGGGTAAATATGCTGTTAAAAAATGGTAACTACTACCCGCACTGCAGTGGTATGGAAACTAGACAACGAGCACTCGGGCATGAAGTTGGAGCGAGAGATCAGGGGCCGATGTCAGTCACCTAATTAATAAAGTGACAACAACTGCCAGGAGGGAGATAAGCTCATTATTGACCCAGTTCGCTAGCAAAATCACATTGATAAGTCAGTCTATTAACCGGCAGTTGACTTCTGACTTCAAGCTACCATGACTCGCTGTATGTCATATTCGACTATTGCCATAGCACTCACCTCGCCTTTTTTCTACCTTTGTGTCTGTCTCTTTTACATCTTTGAAACACTCCTCTGTTCTACCCCCCACCCTCTCTCGACTTTTTTCACTTTGATGTTCCTTCCCCTCTGTGAAGGCTGAAGTCAACTAACTGGATAATGATAACTATCAAAACGCCTGCTATTTGGTATAATAAATAAATGATGGAGCTAAGTTGAATTAGTGGGACGTAGAGACTTCGGGGTCAAGGTTAGAGAGTTATATGGAGGAATTTGGTAAAATCAGTGAAAAAGATGAGAGAAAGAAATTGGGCAAACAACAGTTTGGGATAATGACCCATTATTTTTGACACCATTGTTATTAAAGGAAATGTGCCTGTTTTTCTTACTTTTCTGTCCCCCCTCCCTCTCGACTTTTTCAATTTGATGTACCTTCCTCTATGTGAAGGCAGAAGTCAACTAAAGGGCTAATGATAACTATCATGAAGCCTGCCATTTGATGTTAATATAAATAATGTTTTATTCCAAAAATCGATATAAAGCCATAGCTACCGTCTTAGTATTGCCAGATTGTTTTTATAGTTGACTTAGTCACTGCATAATTAAGGCGAGAGGGGGAGAGAGGAAAAGAGGGAAAAATACATCACACTTGACAGGTATCGAGGACGATGAAAAATGCGGATTTTCCAACTGAGTATTAAGTCCTTCTCTTGTATTCGAATTGTAATTTACATTCTGTTCTTAATGCCTTCATAAAATGAGAGGAGGCCAATTCTATTAGAGAGTAGTTTGAAATGATTTTCATGAATAGAGATTTGAAATTCTTTGTGCCTCCATGCTCACATAGTTCACAATCCAATTGAAAGAAGACAGCAACGTCTAAAATTGTGCGAATTAAAAGAATGTGCGTTTACACTTTAGTAGGTCGTTTGACATCATAAGCAAAGTTTTAAAACCTGCTAAAAGTTTTCTAATCTATCAGAGCTCAGTGAGCTGGGTTAAACTTTGACAAGTAATCTAGTGTGTTATGTCGAAAAGCAAGGCCTAGACACCTACGCAGAACTTTTGACCTATAGTTAACAAATTAACATTTTTGTTTACATATCCAAGGGGGGGGGGGACTCGCTACCATCGACATCGCTATTTTAGATATCAAATCAATTATTTATTCGCAGTATACTCATAAATCTTAGACACGTCTCTGTCACCTCATTCATCAATACTCAAACGAAGGCGACATCTGGGGAGGCCTTTTCGATAAACCAATCCTATCTAACAAGCCTAACAGGGTATAGTCATCCATTCGTGTGTGATTACGAGATCCATGATTTCTGCAACCTCAATGGAAAATATTAGCAAGCAGAATATAAACCCACGATTCTTATAATCAAAGTCAACTTCCAATATATACATTTGCTTGATAGAGCGCATCTTCGTTAAACCATATATGCACACATCGTCTATTAGCTATCGCATAGCCAAACGCGCTCCCATTCAGTGCTGGTGCGTCCGTTACTACATTTTTTACTCAAAATAGATGAATTTCAGGATAGACAGACGTAGTTTCCTCCCAGTGCATTTGCATCATGCTCCCAAAGTCCACTAGGCGAAGTGTTTTAAGGACTTGACTGGTCTTACGAGCGACCGACGTTCTTACAAATGTTAATTAGAGTTACTCGGTGTGGGTGGTGGGGTGGTGGTCACACACGCCATTGGTTGGGCGTCAATGGGTGCCGATCTCGTGATATTTGCCTTAGGAGATATGAACACAGCCCACTGACGCGCTGTTATACTAGTCAAGTTCAATAATAGTTTCAATAAACCAATAAAAAGGAGCAATGAAAGCCAAGCAATGTTCTCCAACCAAAACGGCCATTCGATTAAACGAGGGAATTTTACTTCAATATAATGCATTTTTTCGCTCGATAATGATACACTTCATTTCTTATTTACGTAAAGGAAGAAATCAACTCATCAAGTGAAGTATAGAGAGAGAGAGAGAGAGAGAGAGAGAAAGAGGGAAAGGAAAGAAATGGAAAGTCAAGTGAATGAGAATTGTGTACAACGCACTGAAATGTTCAATTAAAATTACGTCTTTATTAGTCGTATTGATTAGGTTTCGAAGGGTTGGGAATCGAAAAGGGAAGAGGGGTGGTGGTGGGGGTCGGGAGTGCAAACAAAGCGAAACAAAGTAAGCTTGCGAAAGCGAGGAGAGGGAGAGAGAGAAAGGTAGGGAGTGAGGCTGAGGTCGTCTGTATTTATTTGCTGAGATCGTTGTGGGTGTTATTGAGCAATTGTGGGCATGTGTTCGTTCACATACTGAAGTTGTGTTTGAAAGACACCGAAAGAAAACCCGCTCGAAATTGAAATTGTGGGAGGAACGAACATAATGAGGCATAAAACAATGCTGTTTCATTTTATTTCAGAAGCAGGGGATAGGAGGGTAACGAACTACACGAAAAGGCGGTAGGAGATGGGGGGGGGGAGAGAATCCTTTATATCGTCGAAAGAGGATCTGTCTCATCGGAAAATAGGGGAACCACTCCGTAGAGATTTTCTGTCGGTCGGAAGACTCGCAAGTACTTGGATGGAATTGTGTTCAATGTCAGCTGTTTCACAACATCGGCCTTGAGACTGAACCAATCATTGTCAAGCCAGAAATCTAGCGACCCTCGGCTCCTGGTCAATAGAAGGGGTAAGTAGTGAAGAATAAATAAAGGTTAAAGGAGAATGAATGCTTAATTTCAACGTACATTGGCTCCTCTTGTAATGTATTATAGACAAATCGTCTACCCCATTTGGAAAGCTGCTTAATCGACTTTAGGTTGACAATAGGTCTATTGAGCTGCCGATAACCCCCTGGAAGTACAGTCACAGAATATTTATGAGATCTTCGACGAGCCATTTCTGTTTCTTGAGCGTCTGGAGAACCACCAGTGGGTGTGGGTGTTCTGGAAGATTGACGGCCGGTTATGGATGCGGAATGACTCTCTGCTAGTAACCTGCAAAACAGCAAAGACAGGGTGCTCAATTATTGAGTAAACATTACGAAATATTAATTTTATTAGCTGAATAGTAATTTACAGAAAGTAGGCGAAGACACCGAGGCTCCATAGATCCGAGAGAGCATTGCATTTGTTGCCACTATCAAGTTCTGGGGCTGAAACATGGTTAAAGCCAGTGAAAAACTACATAAGTCAACCGAACTTCGAATTATTATATCATATAAATGATTGGTTGGCTTCGTCTTCCTCGAAATGCTCTCTGTTTGGCCTTGTTATTAAGTAAAGGGCCACGGGTGTGCTCGTGTTTTAACAATACTTATAATAAAGGGAAACTGGTATTGAGCTACAAGACTTCTGTCTTCGTCAAACCGGGTCTAAGCAAGTGCAACTATTGTAATGCTTCACAATACTGTCTAAATTGAAGTTGCTTCCATAATTAATAGTCGATAAACGATAATATTTACTGTCCAATTATTATTACAAAAACGTTATCTACCTGTGAAACATGTGGCCGTTTTGCCAAAATGCTCCACCGGTTCAACACCAGTGAGAACAATATCTGGCAATGCGGAAGTTCTCCTTGCTGCATGGATGCTGTCAAAGTCAACACGTCCATGCACTCGTCCATGGAAAGCGGTGTGGAGCCAACGCAGAGCAGAAAGAAGTTGGTTTACCCATCGTGCCACACTGAATTCTGTATATTCTCCTCGAGCCAAGAGAACGTCCAGTAGAGGTCCTCCCGGTACCCATGTTGAAAGTCCAATTCCACCAGTTGGTTTTGCTGCATCATTTGCCATCCACCCGAGACAAAGACTCTGAGGTAGGAGACTGGGTGTGCGAACACTAAATTGTTGGGTGAACAAAGGTGCGCCTGAAAGACAGGATGATAGATGGGCAAGTCGTGTGAGGCGCTCATTAAAAATGTTTTTCATTAACAAATACCTCCTAGTCCTGCAGATGCTGATGTCGCAGCAGCGGATCTGAGGAGAGTGAATAGGAGAGCTTGTTGTCTGGCATTTACTTCCAGCGGATCTCCTGATTCTAGTCCATGAAGGCGTGTTATCTTTGCAAGTATGAAGGCAGGAAGTCGAATAGGCTGTTTTTCTGGCTGCTGAGTAGGGATATTGCCTCTTTCGACCAAGGCAGGATGACATCTTAGGAGAACCATAAGCTGCGAATCATTGCCAAATGCTCCTCTAAAAAAAGAAAATTTATTAATTAGTGTTATTTTAATTAGTTTGGAATTATGAGGCTTCAAGTGGATACCTTGAAATGAGGCCCTCCGTGCGGCAAAGCATTTTAACAGCTTCAAGGTGGGGGAATAATCCACCAGTTTGTAACAACTCATTCATTACCCCTGAGGGAGGGGGACGTTTGAAAGCCTCGTGTTCCGCTTTACCAGCCTTCGTTGTAGCCGTTGAGGCCATAGCCTCCGGATGGTCACTAAGACCGAAGGGATGTGTGGCTTGCCTCCACTGGAGCATCCATTCGCGTTCTTCCTCAGGCAGAGGAATTTTAGACGCCTGACCTGAGTGAAGACGAAACTCCGAAGAGGCAATACTGTAGGGACTCCATCCCACAGCATTTCGAACGCAAACACGAACTCGATAAGCTTGATCAGGCTCCAGATCGGTGATCAATATTCGTCTGTCCACCGTGTAGCCCACAGTTCTCCAAGCTGACGCTACTGGCTTGACATCTGTTAGAAAGTGCAAAGAGTTTTTTAATGCAAAGTTATTAATAATTTTCATTAAAGTTGGGGTACTCACCAGGGTATTTAACATCTACACGATAAATAAAGTCTTCACAGCTGTCATAATTTCCGCAAGACCATCCAACGAGCACTTCTGTGGAGGCAGATTGTAGAATTCCAGGTCTACCTGGTGGTTTAGGTGGCTCTGAAATGCGAATTAAAATCAAATTCCTTCAAAAAGCATAAAGCAAAAAGCAGATAAAAGATTTTAGTAGCTAACCAGGAAGCAGAATTCTAGCTCTCGTTTTCGCCTTTCCATTTCGTGCTCTTATGACACATTCCACAATCTTTCCAGCCATTCCACGTTCAGCATCTTCTATCTTCAGCCACAACCATCCATTAGGTTCAGCTCCGAGTGTAACACCAGGAGACTCAGAGAGAAGGCAACCCGAGAGATACCAGGCTGCTGCTACACCACCGCTGCCTCCTACTGTACCGCCAAGGTCATATCCCTCCAATCCAAGGGCTTCTAAGTCATTTCGGACATCGCCACGCTTGTAGAGAAGCTCTGGAGCTGGCAGACGTGGTGGGTTGGCAATTTGACAGGAGAAAAATACGCTATTTGTTGTAGGATCTATTCGGCTGTCTCGCAGTGGGTTCGCGAATACGGGAGCTGCAAGTAAATAAATTTCAATCTTCACCGTGGATAAAAGACTTAAAGATAGAAACCAGTTGGCTGTTATATCATGGAATACTGGCAAGAAAATAGTTGTTGATGGTATAATAGATATCTCACCAAGTTTGTTTGTCGATTTGATCGGGCCCTCACAGAGATGTGGTTCTACGGGTAAGATCTGTTCATCACGTTCCTTTGAAATGTCATCACACATGCGCTTAACCGGTTCAGAAGAGTCGTCCGCCGACAAGAGACTGGGACTACGGGAACCGCTTAGACCACGCCATGGATCCAAACGTGGTGATGGGGACTCCATTGGTGACTGACTCACTTGGCTTAAGCGAAGACACAATAACAGATTATTACATTTCGGAGATATCTTTACTTTCTAAAAAACAATAATTCGCTCATTGGGGTGTGCGATAGACTTACCTCCACGTGGCGCACCCTGGGCAACGTATACTCATACGGCAAAAAAGTCTATTAACCGGCAGTTGACTTCTGACTTCAAAAGACCATGGCACAACTGCTTGTCATATTCGACCGCTTTCACAGTACTCATCTTACCCTTTTCTCTGCCTTTGTGTCTGTCTGCCTCTTTTACATCTGTGTATCGCTCTTCTGTTTCCCACCCCTCGACTTTCTGCTACTTTGATGAACCTTCCCTCTGTGAAGCCCGAAGTCAATTAAAGGGCTAATGATAGCTATCAAAACGCCTGCCATTTGAAATAAATAAATAAATAAAAAATTCGCTCTCAGAGTTTCCTTTTTAATTCTTGCAATGCAGTCTTCGTCAATAAAGTGAATCTAATCTTACTGATTCTTCACCATCAAAGTTTGTCCGACCTGTCTCACACGCCCTGACCTCAAATTTCATTTTCATCTTAACCTAAAGCCTGTTACAACAGTCTCTCTCTCTCTCTGCG